CATAACCGCAAATAGGGGCTCATTGAATTACCCTCGTTATGCAGGTTTTTTCAGATGCCACTGACCGGCATACAGGGTATCCTTTGTAGATGACTCTTCTGAATTTCTCTTGAACTAATGACTAACAAAAAGAGAAAAAATACGTGTTTAATATTTAGTCTAGTTTCAAATTTTTCCCCTTTTTTGGAGAAAAATTATACGTCAAGCCCTGTCCAACTTCAAAATTCAAATACGACCTTATACCTCTTGACTCATTATTTTAAAGGATTTTTACGCTGAAAATAATGGTGCAATTGGATTTTAAATTAGTCAAAAAAATGTCAAAATTTTGGCAAAAAGTTAGTCTAACTGTGGGAATTTAGTGTTAAGTCGATAGCTCCTTGTGACATCCAGACTGTTTTTATTTTATTTTATTTTTTTTTAATTTAAACTTTCACTGTTAACTTTTCTCATTCAGGCTTATCCTCCACAATTGGCATCAATCTTTGATAAACTCATTGTTCTCTCGGACGTTGGAATTTGCTTGGATAAGATTCAGTTTATAAGACAGAATTGCGGTTTCATCCGCATATAGGTGATAATAATAATGGTGCTGGGATGAATAGAAAAATTAACCGTATAAATGGTATATACAGGATGGGTACCAAAGTTCTCCCTTGTGGGTCGCCGGCTTGTATCGGTCTGATATCTGAATATTCGATGCAGCACCTCACTCTGAAGCACCTGGTCTCTTAAATAAGATTCCAAGATAATGTGATATAGATAAATATATGTGATGTACCGTTGAGTGTATAATATAAAATAAATACTTGATTCATTTCCGTCTTTTAACATTCTAAGTTGATCAGGATGGAGAATGAGGGAATAACCCAGATTCACCCTATTTTCCGAAAAGGTTTTTCAAAGTTGAAACATTTATTGCCATCACGTCACCCTCATCTAAATAAGGATAGGTTCTTCTTATAAGACGGTCAACCCTGCGTCAAGTGTATTCTCGGGAGAAAAAGCGCCAGCACAAAAGGCTTTCTGTGTCCAATATGCTAGTGTTGAACATTTCAAATTCTCAAAAAGTGTCGATTTATTTAAACGGTTTTTATTTTTGGAGCGTAATGTTATTTCACTGCAGCAATTTAGCAAAAAATCCGCTCGTTTCCAAGGCAACGTGAATTTTCCTGCATCTTCCCGTGACTTAGTGATCTGTTATCCTCGGTTGTTACGGGCAGGTCAGCTTGGCAAATGATTCCAACACCTTGACTATATATCTAATCTCAAAGGCTGCAATGAAGTGAAACTATTACATTTTTTCTTCTTCTCGGAAAAAATTTAATAAAACTTAAATAGCAGCGGGACAATCTATCCCGGCCTGCAAGATCCTGACCCGGGGGCACTGGGTTCGAAGTTAGTGGGCTCCGGGTTCGAGATTGGAAAAAAAACACGCGGCAGTCAGTTCGAGATAGATGATCGAAGTAAGAGGTGATCTCCGCGAGGACAAGAAAAGATTTAAAAAAATGTGTGTGACATGTGTTGGGTGTGATCCCAGTGGTGTTGATCTACGGGTGCGGAGAGTTTCCCCGAAGAAAAGGTGCTAACCCCGGCGCCAGCGGACACGACACAGTCTAAGTGGAAGAGGGATCCCGTGAGTTTGTTCCTTTCCAATTTTGTTATCAGGCCTGATAATTCGGGACTAAAGACATTAGGTGTCTATTATTAAGTTTCGGTCTATTATTAGTTTAATTTAAAAAGAATTGTAAATTAAGTGATAAATAGAATAGGTGTTATTCGTATTCAATTTTTTTTTTAAATCGTAGTTTAAACCCTAAGAAAGCTAAGTACTCAAAGATTTCTTGGGTTAAGAATTAACTCCGGTAGAAGAAGGAAGAACTGCATTATTTAGCTCCCATATTATAATCCTGGGTAGAAGCTCCACTTCATCAGGAAGAAGAGAAGCAAGAAGTGCTACATCGGTCGTCTGGGGTTCAACACGGGAACCATATCTGTCCTTCCCTTTCTTTTTTTTCCATTGTTCTACTTTTCTTTTCCTTTTTTTCTGGTTTCGGTATTTATCCTTCTCCAAAAATACAGTTTCTTTCTCTTCATACCATAACTGACAATGGAGTAATGAGGTTGAATATACCAATGTGTAGGTGATTTCTCAGGTGGTAGTTACTGATATAGCCCTATGTCTCCCCTGTGTAACTGTAGCAATGTGTTTGCCAGGTTCTTTAATCATGAGTTGACTGCGTTTGGTATGGAGTTCGTCCGTTTCTCATTTTGTGTCGTGTGGACCCAATCTGAGATGAAGGTGTCTATTTTTGTTCTTGTTGTACCAAGTATACGTTTTAGGCATAATCGCATAAAAAGATCAAAAATAGAGTCAATCTCAGAATGTGGTCTCTCAAAACAAAAGGAGAATTTGACGAATTTGAGTGGTGCCAGACACAGTAAACTCACGGCATAGTACTGTTAGTTGGCTTCGAAGATCCTATTCTGGCAATTAGTTCCTCCTCCCAAACTTCTTTGTCCTGGCACCCAAGATATTTTCAAGTTGTTCTAGTTTCCCAAGTTTTGGAGGTTTTGGTTGCATTTAAGAGGTGCCATTTTCACGTGCTAATGCTTTTAGGATGCTGTGTGATCTTTTGAGGATTTTTGGTCAGTACAACCTCTTTTAAGATTTGCTAACAGTACACAAGAACTCGCTGTTCACTCAAAGTCATGTGTGTTCGAGTCGTTCCTAACCCTGAAATCTATTCAATACTGATGACAAGATGCCAACAGGGAGATCAAGGATTTGAACAATCAGAAAAATAAGGTTGAGGCATTATATCTATAACATTATTAAGAGTTCTTGTGACTCTTAGTCTGACATTGAACACTTGATCCTAAAATAGATCAAGGAGATAAGGTAGTACATCCCTGGCAAACGTGTTACTTGAGAGGACACTCTCTCAGAAATGAGGCGAGAACAACCTGCCAAAACTTTATGTCCACTTTGTTTCTGTGGTCTGCATTAGCTTTTCCAAACTTGTATAAATATTTTAGATGGTGGTAGATTTAATAAGTGTTCCTAATGTCAGCTGAAGGAGCTGTTATTGCCCCCTGTGGTGTATAGATTTGCCAATCTTTGCAGGCTGTCTCATTTTTGGATACATTGTTTGTTTCGAGATGTACAACCCGATTAATGAACCATATTAAATTAGCCTTATTAACTTAGGACACCCAATATTTGATGGTCGGCCCCAAGATCGTATATTTTTAAAACAATTTCAGGCTATTATCAACAAACTATTATTTTAAACAAAAAAAACAAAGGTTAAACATTGCAACTACCTTTTTCATTAATCAAATGTAACCAGTAAATATAAACAACATCTATAGAATTTTAATTAAATTTGTTTTATGTTGGGGATAACGCTTTGCGTACAGAATTAATCAAAACAGGAAATAACTTGATATGTAATTAAAACTTAGCAAAATAAGTCAAAAACCAGAGCAGGAGCACGTATTTTAATTTTTTTAAAATTACCGATCCGAGTATCAGCCATGAGTTGTTAATATTGTATTATTAGGAGCTATTTACGTAAGACGCTTCTCAATCGGTTCACTCCTCGGCCTGAATTATAAACCAATATTAATCCTCTTTTCAACAAGTGTTACTATTTTTGACAAGCATTAAAAAATAGTTTTAAAATATAGGAAATACTTTCACAGATTTCCATGTTGTGTGAATAGTATGAAAATTTTTGATTCGGCCTATCCGTTCCACATTCGAGCGGTTTTATGGAACAATTAATTAGTGTATAGGAATATTTTTGTGACATGTGTACATTTTGTGTCTTCATTTTTGACCCATAAGGCTGGAAAGCTTTTTGTCTTTATTATTATAATGGCACTGTAGTTCTAGAGCAGAATCCACAGAAACCAGCCAGCATGTTAACATAATAAAGCGTTTCCACGTAAATAAAACAAAATAAATTGGGTTGTAAGAATATTTTGGAGACATATTTTAATTTGATCTACGTCAATCTAAAGTTTTTCTTTATTATTACAATTACAATGGTACTACGGTCTAAAATAGACTTATTTTCATTTCAATTACATTGTGATAGCAATATGGTCCTAAATGGCCCAGGGATTCAATACTTTTTTCTTATGTAGACAGTATGTGTGGACATTCGGTCGGTAATGTGGTCAAAATGGTCCATAATTTATAGCGATCTGCCCATCTTTTAGCTTTTTTGGTTCAAATTAGATCATGGCAAAACATCATATCACCTGATAACTGTTCTCCTTGTACCAACAGTCGGTATATTGGACCTACGCGGTTCAGTTTCCTTAAACGAGCACGTTTCACACACATTTCTCATATAAAAGTGGTAGTTATATTTATTTGAGTACCTTCTTGTTGTGTTCCTACCCAGATGCCAATGTACCACACTTGTACCGCATATTTTTCTAAGAAATTTCCCTTTTCAAATCTACAGGATCAATAATTCTCAAAACGTTCTGCCACACACGTTAAATTAGTTTTTAATTCTTGTCTACATAAACATTAGAAGTGTGTGTGTGTGTGTGCGTGTGTGTGTGTGTGTGTGTGTAACGTTTTTTGCAGAATGTTTTGACAATTATTGATCCTGTATATTTGAAAAGGCAAATTTCTTAGAAAAATATACAGTGCAAGTGTGGTACATTGGCGTCTGAGTAGAAACACAACAAGAAGGTACTCAAATAAATCTGTCACTTTTATATGAGAAATGTGTGTGAAACGTTTAAGGAAACTGAACCGCGTAGGTCTAATAAACCGACTGATGGTACAAGGAGTACAGTTATCAGGTGATATGATGTTATTGTCATCCATATATGTATACATATATATATATATATATATATATATATATATATATATATAAAAATCACAATAATTTATATACATCATAGTGATTTAAGTTAAGCAAATTTAATAATACGCACCGTATTAATGTTTACCCTTTTCTTTGTTTCAGGTATGTACATACAAGTAAATAGATCTTGTTGGGTAAGTGATTTAATAGCATGATGTCTCCTTTGTAATTGATGATTTCGCAGTAACGTGGAAATAAATAATAAATCCTCTTAGTATTGATTTTTCTGTCTTCCGGCGGTCAAACACTTTCTGTCTTGTTTTAAGTGTTTATATATCTGTGCATTTAAAAAAAAAAATCATTGTTTAGTTGGGGGAAGAGATGAATTAATTTTTACTGTAAATTTGATAGGTCGATCTAGATCAATTTTCTGTCCTATTCTGGTTTTGCAATTTTGTATTTTATTGATCCAATCCAGGATAGAATGTATAATTTTAAAAGTTATATCTGAGTTTATTTTTGGTTTCGAACGAATAATTTTATCATAATTATTTTTTTAATACTGTGTATTTGAATTTAATTTTAAAACTTTCCAAATAAAATAGAACAAATGAACGAAAGAAAAATAATGATGTAAAGAGCGAAAATGTAAATGTAAGTGATAAAAGGGGAATTGAGGGACGAGAAATTGAAACTAGGAATCCGACGAATTTAATTGAATTCCTAGAACGAATAGAAAAATAAATTATAATAAAAAACTCTAACATCCGTGATAAATATAAAAATGAAACAATTATAAGAACAAACAGTAGGAAATTGTAAATACGAGTAGTAGAAGTGCAAGTTAGAGTTTTGAAAATGAAAATTTATACGTTTTCTTTTCCCCAATTTTTGTTGTCCTTGCTTTTTACTTATATAGGTGGTTTAACTGTAGTGTTTTTTTGAGTTTACTTTTTTCTAATAGCTTTATGACGAAGGTGAGTGCGAAAGAAAATACCAAAGGTGACGGTGGGAATCGTACCTAGTTTAAGATAGTTTAACTTCTCGTCTATTACGGTCTCCGAAATTTTGGTTTTTGTGCTGTTAATGTTAAAATATTAACAATAAAAATAGTTAAAACATTTTTCCAGAAATAAATCATACATCATACTTTGAAAATGCCAAATCAGGCAACATGATCGTATTTGAGAAAAAAAGGCTTAAAAAATTAAACTATCAAGAAAATGTAAACACCTACTACTGCAATAACTATAAATTTATCGTTATTTTAGTTTAATTTATCGTACTATAACGTATAATATAAACGCAATAAAATTATATGAAATAAAAATAAAATAAAATATTTTTATGATTGTTTTGTTTCTTCTTGTGCATTGTTTCACGAAAAATTAAACTAAGTAAAAATCAAAATAAACAATTATCTTAACTTTCTTTAAAAGCCTGAACCTCCTCAACTTTATTGATCTTGTAAATGTTACGTTCATGAATCCAATAATGTCTGTGGGAAATGTAATTCAATCGAAATAGGCAAAAAATTGTAAATATTGAAAAAATAGTAATAATAGGTGTCAAATACCAAGTTATTTTCCGAGGTCAGGGCAACCTATTTTCCGAGGTGAAGGGCCCATTTTATTTCGAGGCTGTTCTACAATATCATCCTATAACTATTTATTATACGACCACTTTATTTACGACCTTTGCTGTTCTTTTTTTTTACTCTTTTCTTTTTTTACTATTTCTATTTCTGGATTGTTTCTGTAAAGGTTGAACTAGTTTTAAATAAAATATTTGATTTGATCGCTGTTCTTGTTTATTTATTTATTTTTTTAATTTGTGATTTATTCATGCTTAAAACCTAAACGTTTCTCGGGTAAATTGTTTACGATTTTGTTTTTAGTATTTCACTCAAGCAACTGGTCAATTTTAAAAACATATTTTTAAATTATCAAATATATTCCGTATAAAGTTATTATTTTAGTCTTATGCCATGTAAACATTTTATTGATGGCTGGCCTAGAGTTGAGATAGTGGAACCGCCTCACAAATTTTCTTTATATTTAACCTAGGTGAACTATGTCCATATCCACATAAATAACTGGGTTGTTAAGTTGTCAATTATTTATTCTTTCATGCTTACACGCCTTACAGGGCTTGAAGATATCACGAAATCGTGTCTTTTACAAATATCGTATACGCAATCTACTCCGATCTGAACGCATTTTGTCTCTAAATAGCATCAAATTTCACCTGCAAATAAAACTTCAAAAGGAACCATAACTTTCACTAAATAGCTTAGAAGTAATTAAAATGTTTCGAAGACTACATTTTTTCACGGTTCATATCTTTCATTATTGCGCTCAGAGTAGTTAATTAGTTTTTAGAGTCTAAGCATCAATTACACATTATCTTCTTGGCTATTAAACAAAGATAAAATCAATAATACATGGGAAAATAAATGTTGCTTGCACAGTAAATATGACAATATTAAAAACATTTTTACGAACAAAGTTCCTTCTTGTTCATATCTTAAGTAATAAACTTTTGACATTCTCTTTCTTTATCCACCTTATAATCTTTCTAATAAAATGGCTCAGTGGAAATACGAGGGAAAGTTAAATGGTCCTATATCTGGAGTTCAGTGGGTTGAACGTTGACTGTAGGCGAAATCATAAGTTTATGGGTGTAACTGAATATGCGATACCTATCATCAGAATTAACCTGTTCTATCATATTTTTATGCTAATATAAATTTAAAATTTTTGAAGAAGTTATAATTACTCTGTACAATTCTATGGGATTTGAAGTATCTTATAAATATTTCTTTATTACCAAGTTACTAATAAATATATAAAATAAATTCTCTAATTTCTTGGTCCGCTTGACCAATTAATATACTACAATTAATTAAGGTTTTTAGTTGAGATAAAAAAGTCAATGGCACGAGTGGGATTCGAACCCAAGATCTTCGGGTAGGTACGCCGCTGCTCTACCACTTTTTATCTCAACTAAAAACCTTAATTAATTGTAAAGTATTAATTGATCAAGCGGACCACGAAATTAGTGAATTTAATGAATTAAAATGAAGTATACTTCACTAAAGCTCTCCGTGGCCATTTCATTTGTCGCCGAGAATCCAATCCGATTACACGACATTTGAAAAATGGCAGAAAGGAAAGAAAACTCAAAAGGTGGGGTTGAGATAGGAAGTTGGTGTTCGAGTGGAGCGAGGTTACGATAGCTCAAGTGGTAGAGCAGCGGCGTATCTAGCCGAAGATTGTAGGTTCGAATCCCGCTCGTGCTATTGACTTTTTTATCTCAACTAAAAACCTTAATTAATTGTAATATATAAAATAATTTGATTTTTAATGCTACTATCTCGTAGCCAAATTCATAAATAAATCCATCTTCAAATAAAAAGCATATCCATCCATAAATCCTCATTGGCCTTTTTCCTCTTTTCACGGCTACTTGAGATAAAAGATCGTGAGTGCTTTATGCCCCCTTGGAAAGGAATTTTATCAACGAAATAGACGGATAAGTCGATAGTAAAGGAATACTAGACTTCGACGTTGAGACGTGGGGGTAAATAACGGATTTTAACCATATGTAGTCAATGGTGGAGTTAAATGACGTGGACACAGATGTTCATTATGTTCATAATGTTTAACAGTATTCAAGCCAAAAATCGAATTGTAGGTGTGATTGAAAATCTGATGAAAATGCCTGGGCAGATAAAGAAATCGGATTTCTGGTGGAAAATTTGATTAGGCTTAAGGATTGAATAATATGATCTAATGATGAATAATAGATGTTAGATATTTAAAGTGACTTTCATGATACTTTTGAGCCTTGACTGAAAAGAAAAGTCCCTCTGCTAAAAATCTATTTACAATTACCTTAATACCAGTTACATTTTGTTGATTAAGCTATATCTAAGAAATTTCCAATTGAGTATTAGAGGCTTTTAATTGAACTTTTGTCAAAACCCATGTCTTTTCAGTAAAACTCATAGTAAAATGGCTTTCTGTTCAGATTGTATTTGAAGATGGAATATTTTGGTTTTATCCATTGAACGAAATGAACAGCAAGAGATATCTTTAAGAGTAATACACTTCACATAACAAAAAATCGTTCGGTCTAGAATATATTTGAAGATTGAAAATTTTGAGTTTAATTTAACCCAGTAAACGAAATGAACAGCAAGCAATACCCAATAGAATATTCTGAAAGGAATTTTTTTGAAAGTTGTTAAAAACCTATGACCAGAAATTCTCATAGCAAAGTGGTGTTCTTGTCAGGGCATATTTGAAGATGAAAAAGTTTAAAAAGTTAAAAAGTTTGGCTTTAATTCGTTGAACAAAATGAACAGCAACTGATGTCCGAGAAATATCCAGTCGAATAGGAATTTATTTGAAACTTTGGAAAAACCCTTGATTTTATCAGTAATAATCATTGCAAAATGTCATTCTGTTCAGAATATAACTGAAGATTGAAAGTTTTGGTTATAAATCCATTGGACGAAATTAATAGCGAGGCACAGACAATTGAAAAATTGCATTGAGCAAAATGTGAACAACAAGAAACAATAGTGGATAGCACACAATCAACATTTTTAACGAGTTTCTTGCATGAAATGTAAAAACTGTTGCATTTTTCATTTCTAGCCGTAAAAAATGACCTTATTTTCAAAATTCTGTTTGCACATTGATAAATTAATTTAATCATAACTGATAATATGAAACGAGTATTAAGTAATTCAAGTTATAATCCGCAATCCAATATGAAGAAATACTTCGAAAACTTCTCAATTTTTTTGCAGTTATAGATTTTAATTTATAATAATTTTTAAAGTAAAATATCAGTTGATAATTTGTAAAAGAATAATTGTAAATAGATAAGCGTGCTCTCCCCATTAAAATGCTAGTTACAGCTAGAAAGCCGGTCGTAAAATAAGTAAAAAGACTTTCTCTGATCTCAAAGAAAGCGTTAGCCGCACTTTGTATGTTAACAACCCTGGACAGCAAGTTTAACGCATTGTTTATTTCTGTTCGGCCTGGTAGAGTTCAAACAGTCCAAAACTAAAAAATTATTTTTTCTCTTGAATAGAAATTTTCAAACGTTAAATGAAAGTTAAGACTTGATTGGCTCCCTTTGTCGAATTTTATTGGATTATCTCTTTTTGATTGATGTAAAT